ACACACACACACACACACACACACACACACACACACACACACACACATATATATATATAAAGTTTTCACGGGTACTTACATGTATGTTATTCAGCTTTGTTCGGGTATTTTCCCACGTCATTATAGTTGTGCTTTTAAAGTTGTAGCAACGTTTCGGCAGAATCTCATCTGCCATCATCAGCTTCTGTATTGTGTTCGTCTGTGAGTCAGACTTTCACAGCCATTTCAGTTTTAAATTTGGGGAAGCCTACTGCTGTGCCAGAATGGTTTTTTCTTCATCCTGATTGGTTGGGAGTCTTGGTCTGTGTTTATTGGTCTTGGAGTTTGCTGTGTTCTGCTTGATTGGTGTTTCTAATATTTTCTGTCTGTTTTGTGGCTCTTTTTGTGTCTTGATTGGTTGGCAACTTTGTGTTCCTTTATTGGAGGCCTTTAGTGCAGTTTGGCTCCGAGTAAATGGACGGCTATCATTTGTTCGGAAGCTAGGTTTCATCTGGGTGCCTGGTTGGGGTGTGTTTAAGCTGGAGGTATCAGCGGGATCTGTTTGTGCCCAGGTGTTTGCCTGGCTTGTGCTGTGGAGATTTTTTTGTTTGTGAGTGCAGGCTTCCAAATAATTGAGAGTCTGGTGGAATCATCTCTTCTATTCATGCTTTCAGGTCTTTTTTCAAACTCTATGGCTTCTCTGATAATTCTGTGGCTGGGGTTTTCTGTAGTGGCTAGGGTTTTGGTGCCATTGAAGTTGATGCTCCTGCCCTACATAAGAGGTACTACAGACAAAATCAGTAAGATACTACACAGGCATCACATCAAGACTGCCTTCAAAACAGACAGAAAAATAGCAGCCATCCTTAGAAACCCCAAAGATAAAATTGACCTGGAAAACCAAGGCATATATGAAGTCCCCTGTGCATCATGCCCTGCCACATACATTGGACAGACCAATAGAAGAATAAGTACCCGCCTGGATGAACACAAAAATGCAGTAAAAAAGCTGGAACACGCTTCCTCACTGGTCCAACACATGAAAGCCACAGGTCATAGCATCAACTTCAATGGCACCAAAACCCTAGCCACTACAGAAAACCCCAGCCACAAAATTATCAGAGAAGCCATAGAGATTGAAAAAAGACCTGAAAGCATGAATAGAAGAGATGATTCCACCACTGTCAATTATTTGGAAGCCTGCACTCACAAACAAAAAAATCTCCACAGCACAAGCCAGGCAAACACCTGGGCACAAACAGATCCCCCCTGATACCTCCAGCTCAAACACACCCCAACCAGGCACTCAGATGAAACCTAGCTTCCTAACAAATGATAGCCGTCCATTTACTCGGAGCCAAGCTGCACTAAAAGCCTCCAATACAGGAACACAATGTTGCCAGCCAACCAAGACAAAAAAAGCCACAAAACAGACAGAAGATATTAGAAACACCAATCAAGCAAAACACAGCAAACTCCAAGACCAATAAACAGACCAAGACTCTCAACCAATCAGGATGAAGAAAAAAACCATTCTGGTACAGCAGTAGGCTAGCCCCAAATTTTAAACTGAAACAACTGTAAAAGTCTGACTCACAGACGAACACAATACAGAAGCCTGATGATGGCAGATGAGATTCTGCCGAAATGTTGCTACAACTTTAAAAGCACAACTATAATGATGTGGGAAAATACCCGAACAAAGCTGAATAATATACATACATACATACATACATACATACATACATACATGTATGTCTAGGTGTGTTAGGATCTTTTCCCGTGTAAGATTGTATCTTGGCGACGTTTTGGCGAGGTCCCACTTGCCATCCTCAGGCTGGTGCTTTCGGCTTCATGCCACTGCTTGCACTGGCACGAAGCCGAAAGCACCAGCCCGAGGATGGCGAGTGGAACCTTGCTGAAATGTCGCCAAGATACTCTTAATCTTACACGGGAAAAGACCCGAACACACCTAGACCTATATACCTGTACCTGTTTTCACGGGTATTTATATGTATGGTATTCAGCTTTGTTCGGATATTTTCCCAGGTCATTATAGTTGTGCTTTTAAAGTTGTAGCAACATTTTGGCGGAATCTCATCTGCTATCATCAGGCTTCTGTATAGTGTTTGTCTGTATAGTGTTCACACGAACACTGTACAGAAGCCTGATGATGGCAGATGAGATTCTGCTGAAATGTTGCTACAACTTTAAAAGCACAACTATAATGATGTGGGAAAATACCTGAACAAAGCTGAATACCATGCATATAAATACCCGCAAAAACTTAAGAAAACGTACACACACACACGCGCGCGCAATTGTATGTTCTTCCCTTTCCTGTTTGAGGGGGGATATGTATATGATAGAAATAGAAATAGCCTTAATTCAAGGAAATTCAGATTCTCTTGCTTAAATCTGTATGCAGGTACTGTAGAAAATTAATTCTGTCTTCACTAATTGTCATTAATTTGAATTAGTTTGGATATAGCTCCATTATTACCTTATTTCAATCATGTATATTTTATTCTGCTTTTCAAATAGTAATGCATCAAAGGAACTCACATACTTAAAAAAAGACACTGGCTTCAAGCTTACAAAGGGAAAAGACCAAGTTATACAAAGAAAAGGGAGTACAGATAGAAAAACACTTGTTGGTGTGCCAAGAATGTTAATAACCCATAACTACACTCAGAACAACTCAAAACTAGAGCTCCCACCATTTGGAAGCCAGTTTAAGCTTAGTAAAACATGTTTAGAAATTTCCCTTCCTTCAGCCCCTTTTCATAGGCATCTCCCTAGACAACCATTCTTCATTGCAAACTAGACCCTTTTCTAAACCCTAGCTGTGCTTTTGTCTGTTTTTATCAAACCCCAACTGAGACAAGTGTATCCTCCTGCTGTGACATGCTTTGCCTGCAGGAGGCCTTTTCTTTTTCCAGTAGACTGTAATTCTTGATTTCCAGGAGAAGCAAGCTGTTTAATCTAGTTTGCTTGCTGGATACACTTATGCTGTTCTTACTACTTGATAATGTTACCTTCCTCTGTTCTTATCAAATTATTGTTCTACCATATGTAGAGAATCTATTGGTTTTTCTGAGAGTAGCAAAATAAAATGTGATGGCTAATATTTCTTGCTGTGAACATAAAGATTCATTTTGAGAAATTTAAAATTGAAACAATGCTCTGTTTCCTGCAGTTTATTCTGTTCTTGGAAGAAAAACTAAATTGGATAGAACTAAATTGACAACTGCTGCCTTAGGTTGCATGTGCCATTCTGATAGAATCAGATCCCAGAGTTGATATGTATGTTCTATTAATTAAAAAGGCTATGCTTATTGAATCAAATAATCACAGATAATGGATATATGAATGCATTCAGCAAGGTTTGGGTTTATGTCCTAGTGGTTAGACTCCTATATTGCAGGCTAACTCTGCCCGTAGCCTGGAGTTTGATCCTGAAGGGCTCAAGATTAATTCAGGTTTCCATCCTTCCGAGATTGGTAAAACGAGGGCCCAGAATGTTGGGGATAATATGCTGACATTGTAAACTGCCCAGAGAGTGCTGTAAAGACTATAGGGTGGTATCTAAGTCTAGCTGCTATTGCTATTATGTGGTTATTTGTGGACCATAGATGTTGATAGGACTTACATATTCCCATGTGTGTTCTTGTGATTGTATTTCTATCCATGTAGGTATCTTTCCATTATAATTTTTCCATTATTGTTTTATAGTTGAATACTGGATAGAAAACAACTTCTATTTAGTATTGCTGCTGTAATTCCAAAAGATTCCCAATCAGCATTTTCATTCCTGATGTCTCTTTCATTTTCTGTAACAGCCTCCTTTAAACTGCAAAGCTGGCGAGCACAATGGGAAAAAAGCAAAACAAGAAGAAAGTGGAGGAGGTCTTGGAAGAGGAAGAGGAGGAATATGTGGTGGAGAAAGTTCTTGACAGGCGGGTAATGAAAGGCAAAGTGGAATACTTGCTCAAGTGGAAAGGCTTTTCAGAGTAAGGCTACATTCCTTTATTTTGCAGTTCTATTGAAAAGAAAGATCAGCTGACTTCAGTTTTTCAGACCTTGTTGTATTAAATTCCATAGTGCTTATTTATTAGAATGATGGCTTTTTAAAAATCCAGTTCAACTTTTTAAAAATCTTACCTTGTGGTAATGTACTTCCACTGTTAGATTGAGCTTTAAACCTACTCCACTTTAAAAAAAAGTTTTATATTTATGCTATTTTAATTGTACCTTTTGGCAGCCTCCATGCAAATGTGACACTTTAAGAAGAGATGTGGTAATACGAATCATATGTTCCTGCAGGATAACAATGTATTTAAAAATCAGATGTAGATTGTTCTTCCCAAAAAATACTTTCCGATTTGGACAGTTCTTTGCTTACATTTTAGTTTGGTTGGTGACCTATGCAGATGTTTCTATATGTTTTTCCAGGGACTCATTTACTGTCACTGCCATACATTATGCTTGCTCTGAGGGGCACTTGAATACATGGGTTATCTAAAACAGCTTGCCTTTCAAGAGCCTTACCTAAACCATATATTTATTAGTAATGAGGAAAATGAAAAACTGTTCTGCATTAGTTATTAATGCACAAAAGCTTGAGTTTGCTATTCTTTTTTGTTTTGTCAAATAATCCATATTTTAATTCTTGCTTCATAAAACCAAGATTCACACAGCAAAATAAAACCACTGAAATCCTAGTAATTCGCTTCCATACACTGTGTATATCATGCAACATTCCTTCTGCTTTAGTTCAAATTAAGTCATATTCCCAGGTTTTGTAACTTATTTATACATAGGAAAAGTTTTTTTTTTAATGTACTCATAAAAATGTCAACAATTACGACAGATATCAAATAAAAGGCTTGTGGTGCAAATTCTATAGTTTTAATACTTTTCCATTTATAAAAAGTTGCTCTTAAGATATGCCAAGAATTTCCATGTTTCATAATCAGTCAGGTATTGTTTTCTGATCATATGTGATAGAAGTATAAAAATGATAGTTATAAACTTCGGTATTTTGGCTGCATTGCAGTGATGATAACACATGGGAGCCAGAGGAGAATCTCGACTGCCCTGACCTAATTGCAGAATTCCTGCAATCCCAGAAAACGGCACACGAAACCGACAAGTCAGAGGGAGGAAGCAAGCGCAAGGCCGAGTCAGATTCTGAGGACAGGGGGGAAGAAAGCAGACCAAAGAAAAAAAGGGAAGAGGTAAAGGCAAATCCCTTCAACGTGTGATCCGCTCAAGATTACTTATATCTTATTGTTAAAGAGAAAAAAAATAAGTTGGATAGATATTTTAAACAGAGGGGCATAATTATAGTTTACAGCTATACAGTATATATCTTTGAGATATGTAAATATCTTTAAATAACTGTTTTGCTACCTGATTTTGAAGAACTTTATTCTTTCCTCCAGGTTTATTGCTTTAATCTTGTTTAACATTATTTTAGGTACTTAGCATTTTTATTTCTGTTTTTACATACTGTTTCCTCCTTTTTTGTTTTTGTTTTTTCTGTTTATAGATTTTTTTTCCATTCATCCTTCGAAGTGTAGCTAAACTCCCAATTTATAGCCGTAAAACTTTAATTGTAATTTAATGTAGAGTTTTTATCTCATTAATATTTATAGCCCATTGTTTCATTAGAATCTAGAATTTCAAGGAATGCATGGTCTCTGGTAAGCTGCCATTAACTGATCAGTTCACAAAAATAACAGCTCCACTTTGTTTAATTTTGTTAAAAGTCTGTCCTTAAAATTACATGAGATTAGGGTTCATGAAATCAAACAGTTTTGAGCAATATAAATTCCATAGTTTAATAATATATGTGTGATATTCTTAATTTAGGATTCCTTCATTTCTAGAGTATAGTAGAAACCATTTTCTGGAAGTAATATTTTTGTTATCTGACACTCCATATTAATTTCAGTGCTTGATCTGTTTGTGCTAAACTCTAAAAGCAGCAATATTAACATTTCTGTTTCGCTGTTAGGCTGAAAAGCCTCGAGGATTTGCAAGAGGGTTTGAGCCAGAACGGATTATTGGTGCCACAGATTCCAGTGGGGAGCTCATGTTCCTAATGAAATGGTAAATTTGTTCTTTAATTTTTGAAGCTGTCATTGCACATCTTCAGATAGAAATATGACATTTACTTGTATAAATGTTGAGGAAATGTTGTGACCTAATGTCAGACTGCTGGATAAGGAAGAATAAATTCAGGCTAAATCCCAAAAAGACAGTGGCTAGGAGTTTTGAAGCAATCTGGTTCCATCTTTGGTTCTGGATGAGGCCATACTCACTTTACCAAAATTAGTCTCCTATGTTTGGATTATTGCCATGCACTTCCATCTGGACTGCCTTTGAAAAGGCAGCTCATCTGATCCAAAAAAACAGCTACAGTATTCTAGCATGCCCATGTAACTCCACCACCATCTGTACTAGCTACCAATTAGTTTCAAGGTGCAAATTGTTATCTTGTACTTCAGCCTTTAAACTATGGGGCTACCTGTTCCTGATGGTTTCCACATGTCCAGTTAAATCCAGAAGAATAGGTTTCCTTCTGGTTTTCCTCTTTTCTAAAAATGTCATTTACTGTGTCATATGTTCTCAGAGGCAGGTCTTTTCCATTGCTCCTCCCCGATTTGACTTGCCCCAACATTACTGAGATTTTTATTGTTTTAATCTTGTTTGCCCATGGCCGAATCTAAGCTCTTGAGTTGCTTGACAGCTGAAATGGCATATATATCCATGCCTCTATATGCTGTCCTAAATTAGTTTGCTCATTTAGCATTAAAGCAAGGTGCATAGTCTGTTGATGGTACTATTATTTTGTGCATTTTGTCTTATCTACAAAAGTAGCCCTTGACTTTCAGCCATTCATTTAATGACCATTCAAAGTGATTGAAAAAAGTGACTTATGATTGGTTCTCACACTTATGACCATTGCAGCATCCCATGGTCACAGGATTAAAATTTTGGAGCTTGGCAACTAGCATATATAAATGACAGTTACACTGTCCAGGAGTGATGTGATCACCATTTGGACCTTTCCAGCTAGCTTTTGACAAGCAAAGTCAATGGGAAAAGCCATATTCACTTAATGTCCACATGATTCACTTAATAACTGCAGTGATTAACTTAACAACCATGGCAAAAATGGTATGACTAGTATAAAAACTGTCTTGCTTACCAACATAAATGTTGGGTGCAATTATGGTCATAAGTCTAGGATGTAGTCTGATCTGGCTTTAGATTTTCCATTAAAGAAAAAATGCTGTATAAATTCATTTCAAGCAACATAATTATTTGTATAAGATCTTAGAAGTGATTGCTCAATTTGGAGACATTTCATTACAATTGTCTTATTAGTAATGTCAAGTATAAACCAGCAGAACATTTAATGAGTGAATTATGAAATATTTCTTGTTCCAAAAGATTGACATCTTGAGAACCCCAGTCAGATAAATGTGATCTTGTGAAGAATAAGAAAATTCAGCTTCTGTCTCTGGAATGAAATGTTTTGTATATAACTACAAACCTTCAAAATCTGGCTTTGCTAAATTACAGGTAGTCCTTGACTTACAATTGATCATCTAACAACTTTCAAAACTACAATGATCTCATAAAGGTTGCTTTATACTATACCCCGTAAAACACTTCTGACCATTGTAAAACACTATGCCTCACGTGATTACAGTCCATCTTCATGCAGTCACAAGCCAGATGCTTGGCAACCTGTTCGCACTTGCAACTGGTTGCCAGGGACCCTGTAATCTTGTGATCGCCATTTGCTGCTGGCTTCCCCAAAAAGTGAGTAGAGAAGCAAGTAAGGAAGGCTGTAAGCTGCTGCCAAATGGACTACCTCTGGTATCTGAGGGCTGATTGAAGGAGATGCCTACTGGGGGAATAGGACTCTCAGCTCTGTGGAACTGAGATTTTCAGCACAACAGAGGATTTCTCCTCCCCTCTGTCCACTGGGAGGAATTCCTTCCTTGGGCTGCAGAAAGAGTTAAAATCATTCAAGATTCTTTCCCGTCACCCTCCTCCTCCCTGGGAGTGGGGGAAATCTTTGTCAGGTTGTAGCTCCTGAAAAATATTGCTCCACCCCTGCAGCCCAGTTAGTTTTCTCCCCAATAGACCCTCCCCCAGATGCCTCCATGTTCCTTATCTAAGACAGTCAACTTAAGGACCCAGGAGATTGTTTAATAGCAATAACTGGGAGTGCCAAGATTGTGGTCATTGAACAAATTGGTCATATGGATGTCTCATTTAATTGTTAGCTCAACTACCAAGATTTCAATCCTAATTGTGGTCTTAGATGGAGGATTATCTGTACAGTCAGTCCTTGATTTATGACCTGTCACTTAATGAGTGATGTTAAGGTGGATTTCCAGAGCTACTTAAAACCTGTTTTTGGAGTTACAGTGGTCATAAATAGAAACACGTATGCAGTCATGTGATTGTATGCTGTGTCCTTGGCAACTCACCTTTACAACCATTTGCAGCATCATGTGGTCACATGGCTGCAATTTGCAATTTTTTTGTCAGTTTCCAGCATTCAGTTTTGGTTTCCAGAAAAATTGCCCACGGGGAAAATGGATTTACTTAATAACTGTGTGTTTGCTTAATGACCACCAAACTCACCAGTAGTAAGTTTGAATTTGGTCACATGATATCTCAACTTACGAGCTCAACAATGTTAAATATTAAACTCTTTTTTTCTCTTGATTATATAGGAAAAACTCAGATGAAGCTGATCTGGTTCCTGCCAAGGAAGCTAACATCAAGTGTCCACAAGTGGTCATTTCATTTTATGAGGAAAGGCTCACATGGCACTCTTATCCCTCAGAGGACGACGATAAGAAGGATGACAAGAATTAATCTGCTTGTCTTTCTGTCTTCATCCCTCCTTTGGCTGACTTTTGTATTAAAATACCAGACTCTGGGTTTGAACATAAGGGAGAAGTGAAGAAGCTCTTGGCTGAGGAGGATGCACTCTGTAGAAACAGGACAAGATTTCTCCCTATGGCAGTGTGTTTATGTTTATATATATATGTATATGTATAAAACATATATATTCATATAACATATATATTCATAATCTGTCACCTTTATTGGAAGAATGAAGGCCACCAAGAGAAACAGCAGGTGGAGGTGGCATGTTCTCTAAAGATCACCTGAAATTTACAGCCTTTTTCTCAAATAGTGTTAACAGCATTTTTAGCATGTGTGTGTAGGTTTTGTTCCTTTTTTAGGGTATTATTTGTGTATTGTTGGGGTGGGAAGTGTAGGTATGTTCAACTGACTTGAGACATAGAGTGGTTCACAGTATTCTATAGCCAGAGTCATAATTTTTTTAAAGGAAAACTGCATCTTATTGCAATTAAGTTACTCTTAATTGAGTAAAAATTCAATTTTAAATGATGGAGCAGATGTGTCAAGTGAGACTGCATTAAAAGTTGAGACTGCTAATAAGAATTATGCATCTAAAATTAGGGAAGATGAAAATTTAAACCCTGTAGTTGAACTGGCAACACCTTGTTCTAAATAATGCATCTTTTTAATTTCTTTTTCCACAGAATTACTTTTTTTAGTTTCCTGTATGTATGTGAACTTGAGAATCTAAATGAGTGGTGGTGAGGAGAAAGAAGAAAAAACTATTTTCTACCGCACAAATAAGTTGCAGAATATTCTGCAAACACTTTCTGTCAGACTTGGGCATTAATTACTTTCTTTGTCTTGGTCTGCCACCAATTTCAATGTAAGACTTCTGTTTTTACAAAGGAGATAATTTTACCAATAACTATGCTCAAATCCTTGTAAGCCACCAACTCCTTCACAGGGCAGTATGTACGTAGAATTGTATTGTACAAATCTTTTTTAAGATAAAGCATGTGTAGGCTTCTGTGAAAATGTTGTCTAAAAGTGTTTGGATTTAACTTCATAATGATCTGTCTTTTTGTCTTAATAAAATTTTAGATTTATAATCCTGACCTTTCTGTTTCTTTTCCCTATAGGCAAGGTTTTCCTTGCAAGTTTTACATAATGGGACGTGAATCTAGAATTTAGGGGAAAATACATGGCTTTAAATTTGTTCATGACATTGTACAGTATATATCATACAGAGAATTATGTCCTGCTACCGTAATAAGATATGGAATGACAAAATATCCTGTTTAGTTTACTACAAATGGCACTTTGTAGAAGAGAGGCCAAACTAAGTCGAGCCATTTCTCATCTTTGCTTCTAGTCATCTTGCTTCAAGTAGTATCCTATTTCCCCGAAAATAAGACCGAACCAGAAAATAAGTCCTAGCATGATTTTTCAGGATGCTTGTAATATAAGTTTTACCCCAAAAATAAGCCTGTTAAAATTGTCAGCCAGAGGAATATATCTAGTATCACATTTCCCCCAAAATAAGACTTAACTGAAAAATAAGCCCTAATATGTCTTTTGGAGCAAAAATTAATATAAGACCTGTCTTATTTTTGGGAAAACACAGGTAGCTATATTGCTCATGAGTGTTGTAATTCCCTTCTGGGTTTATTTAATTTTAATTATTTTACTTTTTTACTAATTTACGTTACTTTTTATTTTAATTACTAACTTCTGCATTTTCTCGAGAAAACTTAAGAACAACCTATTATACACAACTTAATATGCTATTTATAATCATCACCAATACCTCTATCACTTGGAAAGCTAGTAAGCAAGCAAACTATAATCTTAAAGCATAAGAAAGTAAGATTTTTTTTCTTGCATGGCAGTGGAGAAATCGGAACCTGCCCAAGTCCTGGGGGAAGAGCATATTTACACATTGCAAATTTGTATCCAAAGCATATCTATGCTAACATCTTGCTGTCATGCAACAAATTGAACAAGAGAACAGAATGTTAATATTGGAACAGTTCTTCAGGTCTAGTGAACTTGTTCTATAAGTGGCATGAGTTTAAATGGAGACTACACCTGTAAAGTGTACGTTAAGAAACAGGAACATCAGACTTCTCCAGGACCTAGCTATTAGTAATTTAAGATTCATCAAATCTATGCTAAAATCTTTTTAATACTTGTTTTCTATTGTTGCCTGATAATGCATGCTAGTGAAGATACAAACTGAATTGAAAATGTGGATGACCCCAGCTAAGGGAATCAAAATGGAAGTTGTGATCTAGATGTCTACAGGGTACATGGTTAAAATTGGAAAGAAAGTAATGCACATTCAAGCTATCCCTGGATTCAGATTCCAGGAACGTTAGCTTTCTTTTTTAAAAGTGCAAAACAAAGCTAGGAGCCAGGAATCTTTACCATGTGTGGGCTACATTTACAATCAATTTTATTTTGAACAAATTCTGAAAATGGCTTGTTCTAATTATATCATGAACATTTTGTGATTATTCTTTTCATTTAAACAATCCAAGACAGGACATCCTCTTACAGTTCTTGGCTAGCTCAGATTTTGTTCAAGAGTACCAAATTATATTCCATTAATTTTTGCAAACAATTCATATGATAGTAAATTAACTAGACTAGTGGTTCTCAACCCATGGTCCACAGACCCCTGGGGGACCCGCAATGTCATCACCAGAGTTTGTGAAGCCTTGAAGAAATGTTATTTAAATCTTGAATTAAGTCTGGAGGTCCATGGCTGGTCTGGCCACAAAAAGTATACAAAGGGGATCGATGGTGAAGAAAAGATTCAGAACTATTGCACTAGATGAGACATTCTAAAAGAAGAAAAATCCCTTTCCCCCAATACATACTGCTGTAGCCCATAAGCATTATGGTACAGAATTTGTTAAAAGAAAATATCTCAAATCAATTTGTAAGGAGATCTTACTATATATACTTACAAGAAACTAAACATCAGATTCTTCATGATCTTGAAAATATACATTAGTTTCACAAAAGGAAAGTTTTAATAACTACACTGACGCACTCCTATTATCACAGCTAAGAACTATCTGTGCATTCACTGTGACTATAATTTAAGGCAGCAGCTTCATCAGCCTACAGAATAATCAGAGCATTGCTATAAATATATACATTAGGTTTAATCCAAGGTAAAGAAGACACACAAATCAAGGTTCAAATAGTGAATAAGCCATTTTATTTTGTCCTGTGCTCACACTCTCTTCACTTTCCCAATAGCTCATAGTAGAAACCTTTCTGAATGAAACCTCAGAAATAAATTAACACATGCACACAACAGGGCTCCATCCTACCCATCCAACAAGTCACAGTTCCAACACATTTTGTGCTTCAAATTTCATGCTGTTAATTTAAAAGCATGAGAAATGGAGAAGGCTTCATACATATACTTCTTATCCACTTTTTTTTAAGATTTTGGCCTTCAAAAAAACCTAGTATGTTTGCAAACATTGCTTTATACCATTTAAACAATGCACTCTATCTCTACAATTCTCAGGAGGATGCCCATTTCAGTGTTATGCCCTCACATATCATCACATACACAGGACTGAGTGGCTGGAAAAAAACCAAAGCCATTTAGCTCTACAGTTGCTGGTCAAGTCAGTAATACTTCCAGCTGTGCTATACTGCAAGTTAACAGCTTCGGGGATGGCCTCAGAGTTTGAGGCTAGCTGTGTTCAAGGCACTACCCTCACCCTTCGCCTTATTTTATTTTTTTCAATGGAGGAAAGGGGAAGTTGGAATGACATCCAAGGACAGAAGGGAAGCCAGCTGTGGAATCACCGTTAACACATTTTGAGTCTTTATGGCAGAAAAAACTTTCAGTAGCTTTGATCTTCAGGGGAAGTACCACCCTTCTATCCTACATGCATACTATTCATTCTATAGCCCTACAGGGGAGAGGAAACAATATAGGAACCTAGAGTTCTAAACCATAATAAATTAGAATCAAAGTGCCCATTCAAAAAGAGGCTTGCTGTAGATGGCTTTTAACACAGCATGCCCACCTAATAGAAGCAAAACCTGCTGTGATGTAGACCAAATGGTGATGGTCACACACCTTGCAGACTCTAGTCAAATGAAGATCTACATCTTTGGCCCTACACTTCCCTTCACCCAAAGCAGTCTCTCTAAACCAATCAATGGGAAAAGACAGCTTTATAGCATGCAATTTTACCATGCACCATCATATTGTAATGGATCTTGATATTGGCCCAGATTTAATGCTGGCTCCTCACTGGGGGCAAGTAACATCTTTAACAAAGTATTCAATTGATGAGGAATGATAAAGATGCATTTCTATAGTAATCCTATTAACACTTTCCGCTCCTACCCTGCCAAATAGTTGTAATTGTTGAAGTACAAAATGGTACTACATATAAACTTGAATGGGAAATTCTTAACTTTCAGCTTGAGGGAAATGTTTCTCTAGTACAATTTTCTGTGCTCTCTCTGTAGTTAAGTACATAAAGATTTACGAAGAAATCATGGCTAAGTATTCAGATTTAGGCATGGTTTTGAACTGCATGTAATTGATGTCAAATTAGTTTTAAAAAATCCAACCAGCTACCTGAAATATCCAAGACTTGGGAATTCAAAGGAAAAAAATACTCTTAGGTCTTCTCAAGCTATCCATTTAACATTTCTTCCTTTACAAAAAGCCAGCCTTAACAATTCAATTTTTTTTATCCTCTGCTGATATTTCCCCCCTCCCCCCGCAAACACACATTATGCCAGCTAATTCACACTCTCATAATGTCCAATTGGTTTGAGGTTTTTGGAAGCACAGGTCTTTCCCAACATGCTTTGCCATTCCGCCTCACAAGACTTGTAGGCCCCCTGCCCAGCAGTCTGCTCCTATACACTGGCTGGCAGCTATCATGGTTTGAGAAGATATATTGGATAAGAAGGCATGAAAGTTCCTCCAAATTCTTCTGGGCTCAGCCCTTCTCGAAGTTGCAGATTCAGCAAGTTTTATGCTTTCCAAATGATATTCATCATCTTTCACTTCCTCCTGTCTTTCTGTTTCCTCTCTTGACGCCGTCCCTGCTGGTCAGCCAAGGAACGTGGTATTAGAATAACACTGCCATTACTGGCATGCTGTAGAGCATATTGATTTGGGGAATAGGGTTGGCCATTCTCATCACGCAGGCGGCCAAATACCTCCTGGTAGAGGGTCTGCATCTTTTGCTTCATTTGGCGGATGGACCTGAGGAATTCCACCTTCTCCCTGAGGAGTTTTGATTTGTCTCTCTGCAAATCATCTACATCCCGCTCCAGATTGAGAATAGTGTCCAGTTTTCTTTTACGACAGTTCTGGGCTGCCATCTTATTCTTACCTCTTCTGCGAATGTCACGGATTAGACTCAGCTGTGCTTCACTCAATTGATACTTGGACAGGAGTTCATTGAATTCCTCTACTGGCAGATTGATGATCTTTTCATTGGGAAAAGGAATCTTCATGGCTCTGGCTCTATGTTCATCTCTACTCATCTGCTTATCTAGAAAATCAGCTTGCTTTTCTTTGGAACTCTTCTTTCCTACACTAGCTGGCTGGGACTCATCAGTGTCTAAGGTCCTGGGGGCCATGTTATATGTGTGATTGTGACCCACATGCTCAAGATAAGGCAGGTATTGCAACTGAGGAGGATTCTGGTAGCTCATCCGACAGAACTTGCTGTATTCTGGCTGATACCCAACAGCCCCTTCTGCATCTTCAAAATCCACATTTTCATTATCAGAATTATAGCCCACAGCTCCCTCCTCAGAAAAGGAGGAAGAGGCTGAAGAGGAGGAGGATGCTTCTGAGCTGCTGAGAGAAGCAGGGCTATGACTTGAGTCCAGAGACAGCCCTGAGTCTGAATCAAATTCCTCTTCCAAGCGGGATGCCTGCACTGGGTTGAAGCCTTCTTCAATAGCCAAATCCATTAAACTAATCTCATCCAACATGGCTTCATCCAAAAGCCCTCCAAGAGGGTCTGGGAGTTCAGACCCAGATGTTTCATTTGCAGTGCAGTTTAGCTGGGGCGGAAAAAAAATTCCGCTTAGGTTGGTAGAG